CAGCGGGCTCCGATACCGACGACAACTCGGATAACATAGCGCCGAACGCAGGACAACAACAGCAGCAGCAACGGCAGAGCGCTCGCCAACAGATGATGCCCCAGGGCAACGCCCAACAGCAACTGCTGCAACAGCAGCAGACGCAACTGCAGCAGGCAATCCAGTCGACCAACTCTTCTGGCGTGCGTCCATGTCCGTACAACTTCCTCGTTGAGCTGGGTAAGTGCAAAGTGAATTTCCTGCGCCGCTTCTTTTCGCTTCAACAGTCCGCTTACCACTCCAGATCCAGCGCTCAGCTCCGACGAGTGCATCACGATCCTGCGCAAACAGATCCAGGATCTGCGCAAGGCCTACAACACCATCAAGGGCGAACTGGCGGTCATCGATCGCCGGCGCAAGAAGTTGCGTCGCCGTGAGCGCGAGAAGAAACAGCAGCAAATGCAGAGCCAACAGCAGGGCAAGATCTGTGCCTAGCTCAGGTGGCATCCACACCAGCATGCGTTGAGCAGCGACTCTCTACTATAATATTGTGCAAATACAAACGACTTTAGACCGACGGAAGAGCCTATTGCAGATCGTTCATCATCGTAAACGGATGATTATTATAAAAAGAAATTGTGTATCTATGGATATTTTTCCAACTCTAGTTTTAGGCACAAAACTTAAGGTTTAAGCACAAAATTGTCTGTATAAATACATTTCAAAAGATGTATGTATTCGTAAGCAACAAAATGGCATTTTTTTACCTCACTTTAGTGTTTATTGTATGGAAATAGTTATAAAATCATGGAACTTCCACAGTTTTTATTCAATCATATTTCATTTGTATCAAATTTCGGGCTCACACATTGAAATGAACGTGGGAGTCTTAGGAAACGGAGTATCCTCCTTCGAGCAGGATGTGGTGGCCGTTCACGAAGCTCGACTTGCTGCTCAGCAGATAGCCGGTGGCGTCCACAACCTCCTGCACCTCGCAGAAGCGATTTAGGGGGATGTGGGCCAGCAGTGGCCCACTCTTGGCGGGATCCGACCAATTGTCGGCGCCCATTTTGGTCAGCACCACGGTGGGATTGACGGAATTGACGCGGATCTTGCGCGGACCCAGCTCCAAGGCCAGGGACTTGGTCAGCGAATCGAGGGCCGCCTTCGTGGCACTATAGGCCGTGTGGCCGTTAAAGGATCGGGACGACGCTATCGAGGACACGTTGACAATGGAGGCTCCATCTTTCAGGCGTGGCAGCAGGGATTGGGTGACATTGAACACCGCCTTGATGTTCACATCGAAGTGGCTTTAAGGAAATTGAAATCATATATTGAGTTAGAATTGGATCCAATTCGTATTTCCATAACATATGTAAGATAGAGATATATTTCAGATAGTTTAATGCTGAAATGAATACTGAAGGTCAATTAGAGTGGGTTTTCAGTTGCCCTTTCTTATAATCTGATCATAATAATCGTTATCATAGTTTAACGATTCGGTGATCGTGATCTTCCAAAAAGCAACAGAACCAACTTTTGATAAGAACGACAGTATCGTTTAGTTATGAACATTATGAAATTTACAATTTGAATGATTTTTAGATAATTAAGTCAGAAATATATAAATACACTACATATGCAGCTGTAGTTTAAAATAGCTTATCCAAATTGATCTTGTTTATGTATCAATTTTTATATTATGTATTTTATTTTTATTTTTAGTTTTAGTGAGGAAAGCTGAATATCAAATAAGCTAAGAGACGTTTGCCGGTAATAAAAAGTTATAAACATAAGATAAGGTTGATTAAATTGTTGTGTTTTCGAGGTATATCAACTAAACACTTTTCTATTCATTTAATATTTAAATGAGCCAGGAATTTACATTTGATGAATATGGATGTTTAAACAAACTACTTTTGTCATAGATCCCAAAAGTGTGAAAATTCGAATCCCGAAGCTAGGCTTATCAGAATTTAGCTGGCAATAGGAAAACCATCCACTTACGTATCGAAATCCTGTTCGGTGAGCTCCTCGAAAGGCTTTATGATGGCCACGCCGGCGTTGTTGACCAGCCCATCCAGCAGAGGCACCTTCGCCAGTCCCTCGCGCACCGCCTGCCAGCCGCTGAGATCCAACTGGAGCGGCCGGATGTGCACCGGATCGAAGGCCACCAGCTCCTGGAGCTGCTCAGGCTTCCTGGCCACCGCGATGACGATGGCTTCGGCGGCGGCAAGCTGCTTGACCAACGCCTGGCCGATTCCGGCCCCGGCTCCGGTCACCAAGATCACCTTGCCCGCGAGATCTGTCCACATGATGATAGCTGCTAGGTCTTAGAAAGTTCCGTTCCGAATGCAAGGGGATCGCTGGGAGAACTGAACTGGAAATACTCTTTACACCTTATCGTCGCCACTAATCGCCGGACAGACCAGAGCTTTCTTTGGAGAATCCGAAGCCGGGGAGCTTTGGCTCTCTTCGGTAGGGCGTTTAAGGTCGTTTTCCGATCGCAGATCTGCAGCGGATCTCCTCCAGGGGGTGGCAGTGGGGTGGCCCCCTAAGCTGATAAACGATCGGTTATAAATAGAGCCAACGATAAGCCCAAGAATCCGGATTCATGAACGACTTGGTGCTCCTTCAAGCTCAACCTGTTTCTCAATTAGTTGGAGCACCTATTATCAATTTGCATCTGAACTACCTACTTGGAAGTGTGTGTTTCTGAGCTAAACTAACTAATTAGCTAAATAAAAATAATTAAATAGTATATATTTTTCATTTCAATAATATTTTAGCTGCATGCAACTCTTACTTTTTGCACCTCCGTTAGTTATAAAGACTTCTTATAATTTTCAAGAGATTAAGTTAGGATTAAATATCCTGCATCTTTGTATATTTCAACTTGATAACTCTGATCTATTATATGGTATAACATTCGAAAAAATTGTAAATTCAAAATGAATTAAATTATGAAGTATATAAGTTGTGTCGAACTGAGGCTTTTGTTCGCTGACCCTTAACAAACATTTTTTAAAACTTAAATTTCAGCTTGAACTTTTTTTTAAATTTTTATTCAACTTTAAATGTGAACTTTTGATATTTAGCTGTGTGAACGTTTTGGATGTGACAGTGGAAACAGTTATTACACCACCGCGAAAGGGTTTATCGATTAGCCAAATAATCGATAACTGCGACCAGTCGAACTAGCAGTCAACAAAACAAATCTTAATTTTAGTTTAGGAATAAATGAATTACTGACTAAATCAGCTGGAACAAATGGCGCAAACGCAAGCACCAGGTAACTTCGAAGTCGTTCCAACAAGCCCACATTAATTTCATGTCTGAAACAACCATTTAGCAGCCAAGCGCATGAAGCTGGAGAAGAAGCCGGCGAATCTCGTCGAGGAGGATGGTAACTATTGGGGAGACAAACATGTTTGCAGGGCATTAATCCACGTTTGCATCTGTAGATACGCCTTCTGTGTTCAATCCGAAGTACAGGGTGTGCCCCTACTTGGACACTATCAATCGGAACCTGTTGGATTTCGATTTCGAGAAGCTGTGCTCCATATCGCTGACGAGGATCAATGTTTATGCGTGCCTGGTGTGCGGCAAGTACTTCCAGGGGCGTGGCACAAACACCCACGCCTACACGCACTCGGTGGGCGAGGCGCATCACGTGTTTCTCAATCTTCATACGCTGCGATTTTACTGCCTGCCGGATAACTACGAGATCATCGACTCCTCGCTGGACGACATCAAATACGTGCTGAATCCAACGTTCACACGCCAGGAGATCAGCAAGTTGGATCAGTTGCAGCCGAAGCATTCGCGAACCGTGGACGGTGTTCTGTACTTACCCGGCGTCGTGGGTTTGAACAACATCAAAGCCAACGACTATTGCAATGTGGTGCTGCATGCACTCTCCCACGTCGGTCCACTCAGGGACTACTTCCTGCGGGAGCAAAGCTATGCGCATGTCAAGCGACCACCTGGTGATTCCATGTTCACTCTGGTGCAACGTTTCGGCGAGCTAATGCGCAAGATGTGGAATCCGCGGAACTTTAAGTCGCACGTATCGCCGCACGAGATGCTTCAAGCTGTGGTGCTTTGGTCCAGCAAGCGTTTCCAGATCACGGAGCAAGGCGATCCCATTGACTTTCTGTCCTGGTTCCTCAATACCCTGCACCGCGCCCTCAAGGGCAACAAACAGCCAAATTCCTCTATACTCTACAAGATCTTTCTCGGCGAGATGAAAATCTATACGCGCAAGATACCTCCTGTCGAGTTGGACGACGCGGCCAAGGCGCAACTGCTGGCCACCGAGGAGTACAAGGACCAGGTGGAGTACACAAATTTCATCTACCTCACCTGCGATCTACCACCGCCGCCGCTATTCACCGACGAGTTCCGCGAGAACATCATACCGCAGGTGAACTTATACCAGCTGCTGGGCAAGTTCAATGGCTCCGCCGAAAAGGAGTACAAAACCTACAAGGACAACTTTATGAAGCGCTTCGAGATCACCCGCCTGCCGCAGTTCATAATTCTGTACATCAAGCGGTTCACCAAGAACACGTTCTTCCTGGAAAAGAATCCCACCATCGTGAACTTCCCTATCAAGTGAGTGGTTAAACGCAAGGTATTATTATGATAATTGAAACTTGATTCCATTTTAAGGAACGTGGACTTTGGCGACATTCTGGGCATGCGGCAGCGCGACAAAGATGTCAAGGATACGAAGTACAATCTGGTGGCCAATATTGTACATGACGGCGATCCCAAGAAGGGCACCTATCGTGCCCACATCCTGCACAAGGCCAACGGCCAGTGGTACGAGATGCAGGACCTGCATGTCACCGAGATTCTGCCGCAGATGATCACGCTCACCGAGTCCTACATCCAAATCTACGAACGCTGTGCGGACTCCTCATGATCCACCTGAGTTTTAGTTACTCCTAGCTGTATTTCGGTTAACAAACTCCACGATCCAAAAGTAAAATATGCTGTAGTCGAGTATAGCGACTATGAGTGGCCCTTGAATAGGAGAAATATAGACAAATGTGTTTCACTGTTGAAAAAGGAAAATGCTGATAGGGGGGCTCAATTTTGAAATTCTTCGATCTTACACTAACTTAGACTTAAGACTCACCCGAAGTCTCAAAACACACCGATGTTTAAGCTTTAAGCCTCAGCATCATCATCAGCTGTAGGGCAAAGCAGCCAGATTGCGCATGCGTTGTGCCCACTCCATCCACGACCAAGTGGGTGGATTGGGGCCACGACCAGCAAAAATCGATGCCATCGCCAGTCGTTGGGTGACAGAGTGTTCGGAAGCATGTCGGAGCAGCCGGAGAACACCAGCTACGAGCAGGAGTGCCAACGGGCGGAGCTGTTGGGCATCCAGCCTCCGGATCCCGATGAATTCGAGCGCAAGCGGCAGGCGAGATTGGAGCACGAGTTGGCCGAGCAGGAGGCCGCTGAGGCGGTGGTATGTTCTGACCTCTAACCACACACAAATCGCAACTAAATTTCGCTCCCCAGCTGTTGGAGCAACAAGGCGAAAGCCTGGGCAATGTGGGTGGCAAGCTGGGCGAGCTCAATAGCATCCTGTCCAGCACGCAGCAGAAGCTGAATCGATTCAAGCAAACGGCCTGTGGCAGTTTGACCAACATATTTGCCCGGGCCAGTTCGGGCTCGGTGGATCTTTCGGCGGGCATTGGTAGATCGGGCTCAATCGCCAGCCAGGAGGAGCGTCCTCCCGTACAGGAACAGCCGCTGGCCAAGCCCCCGCCGACGGCTGCCGAGGTTAGCGCCGCCAAGGCGGCCAAGCAGAAGCGCATGGACTCGCAGCTGGATAAGTTGGATGCGCTGATCAACCAGGCGGACAACGCTCAGATAGCCATGAGTGAGCAGACCCAGCAGATGCGTCGCTTGGCCAAGTGAAGTGCCCCTTGGAGCGGGTGATGATCCATTGCTGATCCGCGAAGCCCACAAAAAAAAACACTCGTTGGCTTCATGAAATGAATGTGTATATGATTCCCACTTTATTTGTCCTCCCTCTTCAGGTGATCCTCGTCCCCTGATCCTGGGCAGCCTTTTGTCCCGTTGTTTGCTTCTTTGTTTGGATGAACACATGAGTTTCGCTTAAAACTAAACACAAGTTGAGATTACCCAAAGCGCCTTCAATCACATTATTCGAGTGTGCAGACAGTGCAAGTCATGACTGTCTGCAGTACCGTCTACCGTCTTACAGTCCCGGCGCGCACTGCTCCTCCTTACATTCATCCCGTTGACTCTATATATACATAAAATAGGTGTTTTATATAGTTTACATCAGAGTTTTCAAAAATATATAACATTTTCTCGGCTATTCGTTGACATGTGTAGTTAAAAACAGAATTACAAATGTTGGACAATAATGGTTTTCTTGAAATATTTGTGTAGCTAAATCATAGTTCATACATTTTCTGTTTTAATCGTGTTTCTGGAAATTAACTGATGCATATACATATATACATAAAATATGTTTTTCGTAAACAATAACTTTTCTTTCGTTTAGTTTTTATACATTTTTTTTTTTGGTAAGTCACATTTTGGAAAGCTTTTTTTTTCAGTTCTTTGGAAATATATTAAAATTGAATATTTTCAATAATTCAATTTTACATTGAAACTATTCTTCTAGTTTAATTAAGTGGGAACGTCAAAGTGTAAACAAAAGCAAAATCTTTTTTTTTTCATAACATGAGCAGTGTGTTTTGCAGCTGTAAAGCCAAGACTTTACAAGTCGCATTGGGCTTACAGCCACGGAACGCACTGCCTTTGTGCTAGTAAATACATACATATAGGGAAGACTTGTTCACCACTTAGAAGTCGTTTATCCAGCTAATACTTGTTGCAAAACGTTTGTTAAACTATATAATATATATATGAAACGATCGACTCAAGCAATAAAATCAAATCTAATTTTTCTCCACACAACAAAAAGTATTCTTTGGCGTTATCAATTCCGCGTTCTGTTAATTGATACTAAGCCTATATACAACAAACAATTAAAGCAAAGGATATGAAGATTTGAAATAAAGGCATAGCAGAGTATTATGGATGGAATTGATTATCATGGGTTAACTTAAAGAAATCATCCTAAAATCAGTGTTGACAAGTTACTGGGCCAAGTCGGCTAGGATTGATTCTTGACAGTGGACCACGATTCATAGTGTCTGACTTACAAGCTATGCTAGAATTTTGAATTACGTTGGGGTACTACTTGTCCTCCGAAGAGGTGGAGGTGGACGGGGAGGAGGTGGCCATTTTGACGCAAGACCGCGGCGGGGTGGGGCTTCGCTTGAGCAGTGTCCGCTTGCCGACCGAGTGAGCCGCCGCATCCTCCGAAGCGGTGTCCGTATCCGAGTACTCGTCATCGCTCTCGCTGGCATGTCCTGCATCCGTCTCGTACGGATCATCCACCTTCTGCTGATTGTCGTTCAGCTGGCTCATCTGTTCCGCAGACACATTCAAGGTGACGACGACGCCGTTAGGTTGCTCCTCGTTCTCATAGAAGAAGTACGACAGCTGCAGCCGCTCGTCCGCGCAGTTCAAGCGCAAGGCGTCTGGAATCAATTGGCCGTTCGTCTCGAGTCGCTGCTGAATCTCTAGAAACATGTTTGGTGAAATCTCCATCTGGGGCAGCGTCTGCTCCGCCTGCCACTTCTCCAGAAACGGTGGATTGGTTCCAAAAACGCCGTAGTACAGCTTGCAGGCGCGAAAACAGCGCAGTTCGTTCGAGTCCGGGCGGATGCGACGCAGCACACGGAGCTGTGACTCCACCACGTGCAAAAACATGTATTGTTGCTTCCGGTTGGGCAGCGTGGTGACCAGCACCGCACGACTGCTGGTCAAACAGAACTGAGGCAGCGCTTGAGGCCACAGTGAGTGCAGCAGACGCTTGACCAGCTGCGTCAGCGTGGAGCTTTGGAAGAAGTGGCGCTCAGGGACAGTGGCCGCCGCTCCTGCGGGAAGCCAACGCACTGCATCTGCCCAAATGCGAGCGGCGGCGCCATCTAACATAGTCTGCCCCAAATAACGCATGCAGCGGTTGCAGTACAAGTGATCCTCGCGATTGAGCATGCGCGAATTTGCCACGCTAAAGTTTATGACCACATAGTTGAGGCCATAGAAGAGATCCGTTTCGGCAGGCACCAAGCTAAATGGTTGAGTGTTTCCTGCTGGTCCATGACTGTGGCAAAAGAACTCACTGGGATCCACCACAAAGCTGGGGAACTCCCTCAGCCTGCGATAGCTTTGGGCCGCCACCAATTCTGCGCGACAATCCCGACAGTTGATAGTGATGGCCTCGTTCTCCTGGCAGGAGGGGAGCAGTGGAGCCAGCGGCACCTCAACGGCGCTCCCATCCATGCTGGTCAGATCAATCTGGTTATAGTTGATGCGGAAACAGAAGATGGAGCCACTGACCACGAACGCGGACAGGTGGCATATGTCCATACCGTACTGGTCGTGCCGGATGAGCAGCAGCTCTTCGGCGTCCTCGCTGTCGCTATCGGAGCTATCCAAGTCGATCACTCGATTGTTAGGTTTCTCGCTGATGAAAACATTGTAGTCCCGAATAAAAACGCTTATCACGTGTCTCTGCGAAAACGGTTGGTCGAGTTGCAGGAAGACCACGCCGCTGCGTAGGTTGGGGCGTAGCTCGATGCACAGCCCGGTGAACGGCATCTTAACCAGTTCCTGAAAAAGCTCGAAAAGATTGGAAGTACCAGGAACAAAATGGGCCTATCGTTGTTCGATATTAAGAGCGTTACTTGTCAGAAATTATCGATTGACAAGAAGCGATAGCACAAAATGCAGTGTGACCGTCATTAGGGTTCTAGAAAATCGTACGCGGAATACCGATACTATTATCGACCTTATCGAATATTCAGCTGAAAATGATCGAAAACCGATATCGAGTGTGAGCACTATCGCTGACCACTAACACCAACAACGTTTAGGAGTAAAAGAGTCGACGATGCGATGGGTAAAAACAAAGCCCCGTGTAAAAGTGTCCGAAAACCGTGCGTAGCATCAAACAAATCGTAACTCGGCCAGCGAATCCAGGTGCCGTTGTTTTTGGGGACGCGCGTGCAGTGCCGTTTCAAGTGTCGGTAATCGCCAAAATCCAAAAAAAAATTCAGGATTTTTTTTAAAAAACGTTCGCTAAACGCATTTCGTTTGTTCACTCACAAACACACACACACACGTTAACCTAACACACGCACAGACGCTGACAAACACAACGCGCAGCGCATATACACACACAAAGAAAAGAAGGCAGTGAAAATCGACAAGCGCACGCATGCACACACACACACTGACGAGCACGCAGGCGAAAAAGTGTTGATATATATCCAATATATTGATGTTGTGTGCACCGTTGTTGTTGCTGCTGCTAGTGCTGTGCGAGGGAGTGAGGGCGAACGAGAAAGAGTGAGTGCGGTGCGCGCAGGATAAACCGAAGATGAGCCACAAAGCGAAGAAGTGAAAAAATAATTAACGGCAAAGCGGAGTGCAAAGCGCAGACCGGATAAAAGAGGAGCGTTAACAACAATTACAACGACTGGGGGTCCCCTGCAACAATAACAACCACATCAACAACAATAACAACAGCAGCAGCAAGAACATCAACAACAATAACTACAACTACAAATTGGCCCTCTCATTTCGGCAGTCGCATAGCATAGCCCCATCTCGCTCCCTCTTTTGTTGGGGGATACGAAAAAGTTCACATGCAACAACAACGACAACAAACAATAGCAGTCGCAGTCGACGCGGGCAGAGGCAGCGACAGAGACCGCGGCGCACTGAACGTATTTTGTACATATAAACAAAAATAGTTTTTAAACTCCCCAAATCTAAATCTAAACCTTAAGTTAGAGCTAAAAGTTAAAACTAAAGCCCTAAGCATAAATCTACAGTTAATAAGTTAATTAAAATCAAGCGAGTCAAGAGGAGTGGTGAGAGAGAAAGGGGAGAAGTGAAGGAGAGGAACACAGTGAGAGAGTAAAAAGGGAGAGAAGAACGCTCAAAAGAAATTCGCCTTTTACACGATTTTAAATTGAGCGTTTGGCAGAGATCCATTATACATCCATCCAAAAAGAGAGGAGAGTAACAGTGTGAGAGCGAGAGAGGAAGAGGAGGAAAACAAACAAACGGGGGAGCAGCTGAAAAAGAACAAGAAGCAACTTCAGCAGTAGAAGGAGCAACTGTAAACACACAAAATCTCAGCCTCACGCTGGCGAATCGCAACGGCGGCAACAACAACAGAGGAGGAGGAGGCGGCGGTAACAACAACAACAATGGAGGAGGCGGAGGAGCGGCTGCAGTCGGCGCTGGCGCCGAGGGAGCAGCAGGAGGAGGCGCTGGAGCCGGAGCGGCGGGCAGAGACGCTGCAGGAGCGGCGGCCAACGAATGGAATCCGGAGGAAATGGACCGCTTCAGCTTCGACGACTCCATCCGCTTCGAGGAGGACTCCCTCTGCAGCTGGAGCTCCGAACCGGAATCACTGTGCAACAACTGGCGCGGCTGGAAGAAGCCCGCTGCGGGCAGCGGCGCAGGCAATGGCGGCTTGAGCGGCATGGGTGGAATGGCTGTGGCCGGCGGTTCAGGAGCACCGCCGTTCGGAGGAGCTGGTGCCTCCGGTTCCTGTACACCGGGCGGCAGTGGAATGGCCATGGCCAACACATCAACCTGCGGCAGACATTATGGTGAGTAGCATCTCCATGTTGCTAGGGCGGGATGTAAGTCAGTGCAATCGGACCATTCAGCATTCCCAGTGAAGCTACAGTTGTGGAGTAGAGATACAAATCTTAACTGTATTGAAGAGATTTAGATTTGAGCACCTATTTTTCACCTTTTTGAGGAGAAGGTATCGAATATTTTCCCCTTCTATTCGGAAATTAGAACGCGTTTTAGTTAGAAAAATGCTTGTAACCTAACTTTTCATATGAAAAGCGACATACGTCGCATATGAGAGATATTAAATAATTAATTCATTGCTTGAATCATCATCAATTTCTATACTTTTTTATGTGATTTTGTGTAGAGTGATTTTCTTCCGCTCCATGTTTTTACTAACTCGGTCACACTCAGCTATTTGCAATGCACATCTGGCCACACAGTGCTGCCTGTAATTATACGCATGACCTTTTCGCTTTTGATAAATTCTGTAAAATTGGCTTAGGCAAAACAACGAGCAGGCTGTAATTGTTGTTGCCCTCTGTCTGCAATTGTCTTTTTCGTTTTCCCGCATTTCCTCGAAGTCCTCCACTTATCGCTAAAGTCAAAATCACGACATTGGCTGCCAACATTTTTTATTTCCATTCGTTTATGCGAGTTTCCTTTTTACCTTTTTGCTGCGTCCCTTTGTCTTTCCCTGTGGCTCATTACGCTTGTGTATGTGGCTGGGCCATTGTTTTTTGTTTTTTTGTTTTTGGGCCTGCTAAGAGACGTTCCGTACACGTTTTCGGTATCCTGTGCGCCGTCGCAGCACTATCATCATGTAATATCTGGATATCTGGCTGCGACTGCGCAGTTCGTCCTCGTCGCTGTTTTCTCTCCGTTTCTCCATTCGTCTTCGTCATTTGCCCATCCACTGCATTCTTTGGCGTATTTCCCTTTGTTCGCTCGAGCAATGTTCATGTGGGGGGGAAAAAAGGACTATATTAGGAAGGGTCAAAGGACTAAGCAGAGGGGCAAAATCAAGAGTAACCTCCAACCATCCAGTTGTCCTTTCTGTGGATTCATTGATTGCCAGGGTTGCCAGGTTGTTGATTTGATTGCTCTTGATTGCTTAAAATACAATATGGTGTACTAGCGAATAAATCAAATATTTATTTATATGCACATAGGCAGTTGGTTTGTTTAACTAAAGTATCAATGGTTAATGAGTATGCCACGTTTGTAAAAGTCAAGCTCAAATAGCTCAAGCTATTTTCCTTTGGCGGGAAAACAGCTAAAGAGCTAGCCCTACGGCTGGGTGTGTGTGCAGGGGCACAGCCAGCTGCATTTTCATGCTCGAAAGACATAATAACCGCATCAAAAAACTATATTGCCTCAAAACGATGTTGCTGCTGCCAGCTGAACACGCTGACGCCGACTTCGACTTCGCCATCGACTTCAACGTCGATGCTGAGGCGTCGAGAGCCTCGCTTTGTTGTGTCAAAGAACCTTTTCAAGGATACCACCACAACCTGCCCAAGGGGATGTAATAAAAATAAAGACGACGACGACACGGACGAGAGTCCATTATTCCCTTCGCACCTTGCAGCTCCTCCGCCGCGTTTGCTGTGTCTCCCCAGATATGGTAGTTCTTCAGATAGTTGGAACGGAAGAAGCCCATTGATTTGATCCAGAATTGTCAACGGCTTGCGATGCGGTAGGAGGCTTACACACACATTATAAGCATACACCTGAGCATTCAAGCAGTTTACATGCCATAATTGAAATGTTTTGGACCAAGTTATTGTGTGCGCTGGTAAGGGGGTTTGGTGACCCCGACCTGTTCATGTTTAACTTGCTTACTTATCTGATGCCATTAGAAATCATTAAACAGTATCAGTATATTTCAAATCGAAATGAATTCTGAATATTCAACATCACAACCCTATTTGTATTTGGCTGAATATTTGGCCCTAATTGATAAATACCTTGTCAGTTGTCGTCAAAAGGAAATTGAAATGCCTTTTATACCGAAATGCACATGACCCATGGGTATTCGGTAGAAAATAGTAAATGGTGACACCGATCGATACATATTTAATTAACGTACTGATTGCTTCCCTGCCTGATTTAATTAAACGGCAAATGGCAAAGCTTGTTTTCAGATTGAAATTGATTTTAAACAACATTTCATTAAGACCATTACTTAACTGAATATGCTGACCCCGATTTATTCCCACAACGCAAGTTTTCTTTAAAAGAATAGAACAGCATTTTAAAATAGAAACGGATTCTAAGCAATCCCCCTTAAACTTGTATGATGCTATGTATATGTTCTGGTGACCCCAATAATAATAATAAATTCCATTCCATAACTCTCGCATTAAGAGCTGGCATCCAGGGGATGACAGGAACAACGCAGATGAAGAGCGTTCGCCAAGTGCGCCCCGCATAAACGTGGAACGTGGGACGCATAACGTCGATGCTATACAATGACCCCGAATAAACCGAAACCGTGGAATGGTCACGCTGCAGTGCTGACAATGCAACTTCGTGTCCGTGAGAGGTGTGCGGGCTGCGAGTGTGTGCGTGCCTTGAGTGGCCGGCGTTGCCACATGTCATCATCTAATTAGTGGGTCGAGGCTCGCTCGGTGTCAATTTCGAACTGAAACCGAACCAGAAACAGATACCGATGGCTATGGCGATGCCTGTGACGATACAGATACAGAGACAGCGACCAGCTGTATTTTTCACTTTTCGCCGTGCATATCGGTTTCATGCACTTCCGCAGCCAAAACAATTGCACCAACATATGCAGCACACACATGTGCAGAAATGCTTGCTGGCACTTTGACCTGACCCCTTTTATTGTTATTTGGTTTTTGTGCCGAACAACCTGAATTTGTCGTTGGCGAAATTAAAAAATTCTGTATATTTTCAGCACATTAACAAGTGCATAGGAAGTTAATGGAAAGGCTTTTCAATATATCAATTATGATTAGAAAAGAACCCCCAATGCTTTCTTTCAGTGTAACTCAGTTTTATCACTAAGGGTCTTCAACAGACTTGTAAATTATCATGATCATGACCATTTAACGGTTTTGAGTGGAGAAAACATATTCATTTCGATAACATATGTATTTAGTGTGGGTTA